ATGGCTTTAAACTCCAACAGGGGAAGTTTAGACTGGACATTAGGAAAAAAAATTCACAGAAAGAGTGGTCAGACAGTGGAATAGGCTGCCCAGGGAGGGGTGGAGTCACCATCCCTGGATGTGTTTAAGGGTCGTTTAGATGAGATGCTGGGGGACATGGTGTAGGGGAGAACTTTGTAGAGTCGGGCTGATGGTTGGACTCGATGATCCCAAGGGTCTTTTCCAACCTGAATGATTCTTTGATTCTGTGCTATTTCATGGCACATCTACTCCACTTGTACTGAGCCTCCCAATATAATGGAGACCAAAGCCAGTAGGCTGTGGCAGACCATGTATCACCACGAGGACCATTTTGAGTCCAACAGCAGTATAGCTGTGATGAAGTGCAGGGCATGTAAATGTGGTTTCAGTGCTTGCCAGATCCAAACTGGTTTATGGGCAGCTGTGCCAAAGGTCTAGAAGTGTCCTGACCTTATGTTCCTGCTCCCGGGAGAAGTAAATGTTACCAGATAGAATGTCTCTGCATGTGTAAGTTCTATTCTCAAGGAGTTCAGGTGCAAACCTAGCTATTTGAAGATTGGGCACATCTGCATAGTCAGATGCTGAGAGTTGAGGTTTATTAGCTCCAGACTACTCAGAGCAGGGACAGAGCATGCATGTGCCTGTTGTCTCCTGATCAGGAAGACCTACTTATAGTACAAGTACTAGTTACTCCACGTTTGACTTCATACTGACACAGAGTTCATGCTGCGCATCCGTGCAGAGCTTCATTAAAAATGTTTCATACTCAAGTGGATTTATCTTTGTACTTTTCTTAAATTAATTCTCCTCCAAATCAGACTGAATTGTCTTTAACATCTGAAGCAAGGTGGGAAAGGGGAGTAGCTGTAGCCCAAGAGAGTTCTTTCAGACACAAGATGTTAAACTGCTTTTTGATCAGCTGCTTGTAGAAATGTACATTAAACTGTAAACCATGGTTCTTCTTGTAACCAGCTAATGATCCTATCAGTCGCAGACTAATTGCCTCTACCTCGTTCTAAATTCTGCTGCATTGAAAAAGCCAAAGTCACATTCTGATCCTGTTAATCACATTCAGCTTTGAAGAGTACATAGTGGTTGTGTGTTAATTCAACTTCTCTCCCTGGTAATTTGTTTGATTGCCTGTTACTTGCAATCTGCACTAACTGAATAAATGTGTTGTGTCCTGATGGGAAATTATGACTTTTGTTTAAGCTATTTTAATGCAGATGTTTTGCCTAGAAATTGGTGTAAATTCTTCTCGCCTTTCTGCTCTAAAGTACTTTCAACAGGAAGAACGAAAAGGTGTTAACCCTTTGGAGAAGGTAATAAATCAACAGGGTAAAAGCTATATTTCTTTAATGCTAGATTAATAACAATCTTTATGGCCTGAAGGCTTCTCATCAGCGTGTGAATAAATAAGTAAATAAGATAATAAAGTATGACAAGGAGATGCTGGTGCTATATCTGTTTATTCTTTTCCTCCATCTCCAGCAATATGTATTGTCTGCATTGCCAGGACCTAGGACAGAGTCTGCCTATTCATTACTTCTTTTTTTAATTTATTTTTTTAATATAATCACACGCACACAAACACTCGCACATATTCTACATAGTTCTATGTGAATCTTTCAGAAAAAGACTGAACATATGCCAGATTACCTTTCAGCTTCCCACATCATTTTTCTGAACAAGAGTACGAGGCAACTGGATATGTCCTATAAGCACAAAACAATTGTTACGAGGACATTTTTATTAACATTGGATCTATGTGATAATAAAGATTTATTGTGATTTTACCTTTGAAATCCCCTGAATATTAATGAGAATTTTTTCTCCCTGTTCTGAATTCCAATGAGAAATACTCTGATTGCCATGGCCATGTTAAATAATTGTGAAATCCTTTTAGATTACTGTCAACATTTTAAAAATAAATAACTGATTTTATGGAGGCATTTTTTTCAAGTTAAGGGCAGACATTAACTTTTGATATAAGAAGCATTCTCTGCTAAAAAGAGGTTACACTTGTAAAATGCTAATGTCAAAATTATTTATACAGAGAATCTAAAGTTGATTCTGAAATGTTTAGTTCAAATGCTGCCTGAAAGTGTGGACCAATTAGTGATTTCTTACCAGATCAGCCTTTTTGACAGACTATTCATTTAGACTTAAAAATATTTGCAAGCAAGGTCTGGAGACCTGGTGTTTATTAATTCATGAAAGACTTATACTAATTAGCAGTGTTCGTTTCCCAGAGGCTCACTTAGTCTATGGAAGCAAACCCCTCCACGCTCCTTGCAGAAGAAATAAATTCCTTCAAGCAGTCCATGAGAACATCCAAAGTGGACTCCTCTGAATGATTGTTGATTGAGTTCCTATCGCTCCATTGACCAAAGAGAAAACAAAAAGAGCTTTGCCTCCCAAGGATACTTTCCTCATATTCTGGGGTGCTCCTCTGAGCAACATGACTGCCAGCAAATGCAATAAATTAATTCATTCTGGTAGAACAAAAACTCTCAGACCATCTGCATGCAATGACATTTTCCACTGACTGTTTTGGTATCTCAGTACTGAAGTTTTTAGGTTGTTCATTTTCTTAAAAGGATTTGCGGCACATTATTTGCTACCTCTCTTCAAATGTTCATAGACTCATAGAATTATAGAACCCCAGGTTGGAAGTGACCTCAAGGATCATCTGGCCCAACCTTTCTCAGCACAAGCACGGTCTAGACAAGATGGCCCAGCACCCTGTGCAACGGAATCTTAAAAGTGTCCAGTGTTGAGAACCCACCACTTCCCTGGGGAAATTATTCCAGTGGCTGATTGCTCTCGCTGTGAAAAATTTTCCTCTTGTGTCTAATCAAAATCTCCCCAGGAGTAACTCGCACACATTACTTCTTGACTTTTCCATGTGGCTCCTTGTAAGTAACATGTCCTCTCCTTTTGTAGCCACCCTTTAAGCACTGGAACATGGTGACAAGGTCTCCCCTAAGCCTTCTCTCCTCCAGGCTGAACAAACCCAGTTCTCTCAGCCTTTCCTCACAGGACAGGCTGCCCAGTCCCTTGATCATCTTTGTGACCCTTCTCTGGGCCCTCTCCAGCCTGGCCACACCAATTTTGTATAGCGAAGTTACTAAAACTGAACACAATACTCCAGGTGTGGCCTGACAAGCGTTGAGTAGAGGGAGATAATGACTCTTTATCTCTGCTGGTGATGTCCTTGTTGATGCAGCTCAGCAGACTGTTGGCACAGCAGCACACTGGTCACTCATGTCAAACTTGTTGTCTACCAGGACAGCAGGATCCCCAGGTCCTTTTCCACAGAGCTGCTCCCCAGCTGGGTAGATCCCAGCCTGTGCTGCACTCCTGGATGATTTTTTTCCCAGGTGCAAGACTTGTCCTCCTTGAACTTCCTAAGGCCCTTGTTATCCCCCTCTTCCAGCCTGTCCAGGTCTTCCCGCAGGGTGGCTCTCCCTTCCCAAGTGCCAACGTACCCACTCAGTTTGGCATCACCAGCAAAGCTCATCAGGGAACACCTGATCCCAACATCCACGTCACTTATGAAGATACTGAACCTCATTGGGCCCACTATTGATCCCTGGGACCCCACCTGTGACAGGTTGCCAGTCTGAAAAGGAGCCATTTCCCACCACCCTCTGGGTGCAGCCTGTCAGACAGTTCCCCACACACTCTAGGAGGAGGCGCTGGGGAACCGTATCAGAAGCCTTGGAGAAATCCAGGTAGACAATTGCCCCACATTCCAGTCAAAAATCTAGTTTGCTTAGGGACTCTCAGCTTTCCATAACTGCAAGACTGGATCTTCAGCATTTGATCAGCTGTACATTCTTTATTTCTTCACCTTCTCTTTTTAATTTTTTGCTGTAAAAACATATCACTCATCTTCTCATGGAGTTCAGCACTCCTCTTATTTTACTGTAATATTTTTACTATTAGTCTCTCTTGCCTGATTTAACAGACAATATTAAAAATGCCGACTGGTTCCCAGCCATTTATTGTTTGAAATAAATCTACCTTTTTTTCTTTTTTTACTGGCTTGCCGCATTGCTGGAGGATACAAAACGAAGTCTCAGTTTTACCTTCACATTTCAAGAAAATGTCAAGTTTGATAGGGAATTCAACTCCTCCATTCTTCCTCTAAAAATACATTATTAGGTCAATTTAGTTCTGTTATTGTGTTCTGTTCCTTGATCATTTTAATCCAAAGCATCTGGCCCGAATCTGTTATATTCAGTGTTGGGTTCTGGTTCAAAAGAACTGATCACAGATGTGCTGACCCACGTGAAAGCCCCTTGAAAACTCAGATTTTATTAGGCTTTAAGTTTTCTGCCTTGCATTTCTAAAAGTCATGTGCTAAGATTATAAAATAATTCAAAAAAAAAAAAATCAAGGAATGAAAAAGAGCTTTAGAGGTAGAAAAAGAAATGACAGATTATAGAGAGAAGGAAAGTTCAGGAGGAAAAGTGTGAAAGGAGGAAAACACAGGCTCTGTTAACTGCAAAGGGAATGGGAAGGCATTTGGGGAATGGACCTCTGGCATGCTTTATTCCAATTTTTAGGAGCGCATGAGAAGTGGAGACTGCTGTTTTGTTGGAACCTGTATGGCACCTAGCACAATGGAAAATGGTATGAGATTGTGCCATTAGGTGGTATAAACAATAAAGAACAAACAGAAAATGAACGTAAATTGAGATGGAGCTTGGAGAAGGAAAGTGACTGTCTGTGGTGTCAGCTTGCGGTGGGCACAGTTGCAAAGCAGTGCAAATCCACCTCGTGGACTGGGTCTCTCTCACCATGCTCTAAGGAGCTCCTTGACAACCCTGGGTTTTCCTGCCTGCGTCCAAGAACTGTCTGAGCATGCTGCGCCATTTCGCTTTGGTGTGGTGTGAAGCCAGACTGCAAACATAAGCTGTTCTAATTACATTCTCCTATGGTTTGTTTTATTCCTGTTTTGTTTTGTTTAGGTTGACCTGCTTGTCCCTACAAAAATCACTGGCATAATTACCCAAGGAGCTAAGGATTTTGGTCACGTCCAGTTTGTGGGGTCCTACAAGCTTGCTTACAGTAATGATGGGGAGCACTGGATCGTATACCAAGATGAAAAACAAAAGAAGGATAAGGTAAAGCAAAGAGAAAAATGATATTTTGGTTACATTTACAGAGAACTACATCTGTAATAACATCAGTGCTGGACGCCTGTGGGTTATTGCAGGCTGCCTGCTTTATAGGGTTCCATATGCATAGGATCCCACAGATAAAAGTCAAGGTGAATAAAAAAGAGTCATATAACACTATGACATTCACAGTGCAGTAATATCATACCTATCAGTGCAATGCACCTGATTTAACGCTATTAAAGATGGGACATAAAACTTTACAGTTCTCCATTTATTGGAATTATTTCATCCTTTAACTCTAAAGAAGAAGGTATATAAATATCAGTTTATTTGTATATTCAAAAACAGTGTCCCAGCGCATATTTTGACAAGTATGCATGATTTTCTGTAATTTTCTGTAAAGCACATCTTTAGCGTACCTCATTACTTAGCCATTTTGGATTTTATTTTTCTTCTGGAAATTAATCACGTAGGGTTTCAAATACCCAATGGAAAGATTATTTTTATTACACTGTTAAATGACTACAAAACATAAAAAGTTTCACAACTTCCTTTGCAAATATTTAATGAGAAGTGTAGAGAAAGTACAGGTTTGCTGATTGATTTACCTGGAAACATTTAATCTTTCTGTGGTTATTTAGGATATTATTCATTATACCTTTCATTTAAACTGTGTAACACTTTTATACAGCACATACCTGAATTCATAATATCATCTGTTAAGAAAGAGATTACACCATATGCGTTGCTTAAGGGAAATGTTAAGCAATCTGACAAAATGTGAATTATTTATTAAATATCTTAGTGGGATTATGTCTGATTGAAACAAAAGATACATTAATAAAAATACAAAATACCAGATGGCTTATATGTCTGATAATGCATCTTTAAATCCAGTGGTTTTAAAATCTGTATTCAGTGATAAGTGTTCCCACTTGTAGAATAAACAAAAAATATTCAGTAAAAAATTAATACCCTTCAATGTAGGTTAATTAAATTCATTTTTTTTGAAGTAATGAGAAAGCTTTTGATATATTGAAAAGTGCTATATGAATACAGGTAGATCTATTGATGATGGGTTAGACAGCCTCATCTTTTAAATTTCACTGAGTTTAAATGATTGATCAAATATACACTCATTTATTAGGGGAAGGTGTCCTGAATTACTGGATTAAATATGTGCATAATCGTATGTGTGTGTCTGCATAGACATGTTATAAGTTTCTTATTCAAAGATGACACTGCAAAGTCCCACTCTTAAAAGCCAAATGTCAGTTCACTGTGGTTTTATCCTGAACTGAGACTTTTCCCCATCAAATTCTAAAGGATTTTAGATAGGGAAAACAAAATCAGTTGGTTTAGCCATCCAGCTGAGAAGGTCCTGACACCAATGATTATGGATGTGTCTAGTATAATTGGTTGTCAGATAAAAATTGGAAACAAACAACTCACCTTTTGTAGACGCAACATAAATGCATTCAATATAAATGACAGATAGTCACTTCACTACTTTGTACACATCCCATTTTAAATCCCTGGCATTTAAAAACAGAACCAAACGATCTGCTACGAAAGAAATGTCCTCTCCAAGCCAAACTTCTATTAGTGACATGCTGCATTCATTTTACTGAAAAAGAGAGTGTGTGTTCAAGTCCTATGTGAGAAACACATCAACAGTCACAAGCAAATCTAAAACAAAATGCACTATCACTTAACAGCACTGTTCCAGTCTACACTTGTCTATAACATTTGCCACGGCAATTAAATTCTTTTTGCTGTCATCATCAACCAGATTGTTAATAACACATATTCCATTAGGAACAATGGAAATCTCTTAGTCATTGTCTTATTAAAACATCTCATATCCCATATTAATTAACATCCTTAAGCAGAAAATAGGTGCATATTACTATGATTCTTTAACAAATCAAGAGCAATTATAAGCAGAATGTGATCAAATGCACTTAGCTGGGAATAAGATATAACTTCTGAGTTTAAATTTGTACAAAATAAAACAAGATCATTTGATACGTCTAGATGTGTCTTTGATACATAAGCGTTAATCCAAAATAACTTTACTATTTTAAATTTTTTCCATATGACAAAAGTCTAGAAAAGTCAAAAGTCTGATAACAGTCTGACATTCCAGAAATGCTGCCTGTTGGTCAGTGATCTTGGCAAAGCTTTAGAGGAGGTAGGACTGGAAAGGATCTCGAGACAGCCCCTAGACATACACCTCCTGACCTATGAAGAGATTACATTCCTCTTCTCCCATCCCCTCTGAGGTCAGCACCAAATAGGATTCAACAGTCCCCAAGTCCCTTCCCACCACCCTAGGAGTAAATGCAAACAGTTCATTGTTAGAACTAAAGCTTAATACATTCAGTCCTTCACTTCATACAGGGCTCATATCGTGCACCATTCTCCACCAGATTATTATTATTATTATTTAATATATTCACAGAAACAGCCAGTCCTGAAAATTCTATAATCTAAGCAGTCTACTCCAGTGTTTAAATATCAAAGTTAGAAAGGTTTCTTATCCCCCTCCCTGCAACACATCCACCTTCTTCTTAGAGGACACAAAACACTGACTTCATCTCTTTGGACAGTTTGTTTTGGTTGAAGCATCTTAACTATTTCTTCCCACTTTTTCTTGGGGAAAAAAAATTATCTTTGTTCCTTCAGACTTTCCTCAAAGGGTACTTTTTCTCAACCTCAGATCAGCCTTTTCTGTTCTGCTTAGACCAGCTCCTCCTGAAGTGTGGTTTGACAAACTTGTAGTGTTGTATCCTTTAGCACAGAACTACTGCCTACTCCATCATTCTCCATCTTGTATCTGTGACATTTGTTATGACTTCCTAAAGTTTGGCTTGCTGCTCATCATTATTAAATTGCACCATTGATCTTCTTTGCTTTTGTCCAATTTGTCAAGATTGCTCTGAATTTTGATCCCACCTCTCAAAATGGGAAAAGTTTGGCCACATCTGCACTTTTAACAAGAAAATCTATTTCCATCATCCATTTCATTACTGCAAATATATAAATTGTATTCAGCCAGAGGCGAAGAGCATCACCCAGTAAAACCTTCCAGTTTGACACCAAACCCTTCATCACCGCTCTAGCTAGGTCTGCGCTGATGCAGTGTGCTCTGATGGGATTTGCCCACTGGATGTGTATACCATCAGAAATTCTGCCTGCACTCTGGCCTGTGTTCAGTGGAACAAAAATATAAATGGAAAATCAAAATAGCTGAAGAAAAATCAATGCTGTGCCTCATCCATGGGGAGAGGAAGAGAAATAGTGTCATCGGTCCTGTCTGATAGTAACGTCTTTGCATGGGATCCACAATACTTTCTTTAGCTTAAGAGACAAGATTTGGCCCAAAATGCAAGAACAATGTAGAAGAAACCATGTTTTCACAGTTTCATTAAATGTTTCTTCTGTCCCCTGGAGATACATAAGTGAGAGAAAACATAGATCCTGTCAACAGCAGCAAGAATAAATTATTCATAATTTACCCTCATTCATTCTATTAATTAACTGAAGATCTTGATTTCTTCTATGAAGGGTAGAATATATAGATTTCTTATTTCCTCTGCAGGAGATTTATTCATCCTATACTTGTCCTGTGATCCTTCTACAGCCATCCAATAATTTAAAAGAAAGATGGTTCCAAAAACTCGCAGGGAAAGGAAGACAGTATAAAAGAAAAATAACTACTTTTAAAGTCCTAACATTTTACATTCTGGAAAAGCAAAGATTAAAAGAATGTCTCAGACACAGAAATTATAGAGATTTTGGTAGGCTGGTAATAATGACTTTGAAAGAATATCGTGACTTTACAAAGCATTGAAGTAAGAGTTGAGAGCTTAATCCCGTCTGGTGCTGAACATCTCACTGCTCAGCAGTTTACAGGATGAGTCCTAATGTACCAGCAGATCTCAGTGAATTCCTGAAGCTATTCACTTCTGCCTCTTCATCATTTGTGAAGTTATTTTACAAAGGAAAAAATACGGGTATCTTGTGTTCACAAGTGCACTGTGTGCAGCCTGTATCTTTGATCAATCTGCAACAAATTAGTTGTTTCAAACAGAAGAAAAAAGAAAACATTTCCTTCTTTGTACCATTTCAAAAGGAGAAGTTGTTCCATGAACAGCAGCTCCTGCAGCTCCTGTCTGGCTTCTGCTGTTTAAACGGCCAATCATATGAGTTCACATTTGTGCTAAACTTCTATGAATTCAGACAAAAAGGAACTGGGGGGGGAAAGGAAAAAAAAAAAAAAAAAAAGCATGTCTTTAAAAAATGAAGCCTTTCTCATTCATTTTAGTTTTAATGAGCTGCCTGGAAAATATGAAAACTTTTCCTGTTGTCTTCAAGAAGCAAAATAAATTACATTGCAGTCTGGCAAGTAAGAACAAAATGTATTTTAGAAAAAGGACCAGAGCTAATGGCTATCTTGTTTTTCTCAACTAGAGGTCAGTAGCTCACTATGCCTCCAAAGCTAAGGACATCCAAACCAAATTTGACCTTTTTTTTTAAAAATCACATTCCACGTGTGATTTATAAATTGCACAGCATGCTGTAGATACGGCCAGCTGCCATATCAAATGGCATTTTAGAGGCTAGTTTTTAAAATAAGTTGAGAACACCTGAAAGCAGCCTAAACAAGTCTAGCAGTGAGCAGCACTGTCATTATTTGCCATCAGCAGTGCAATTAACTGCAGGTAGGCAATGTCCAGTATGCAAATGGCCGCTGTTGGTGCACAAAATTATGAACTAGTTATAAGTTATATGCTTTGCATGTCAAGTTAATTGCCATAGCAACGGAAGACAGGAACCTGCTTATAAATGTAAAGTTAAATCATGTCAGGTTAAAAATCTTTCTGCTAGATTTGCTAATGGTTTTTCTGTATGGTTTATTATAATATGTGGTTTATATGGATAGTTTCAGCTGCTACATATAGGCAGAATTAAAGAACTTTTTCAGCTGCTACATATTG